CCTTTTTACAACCTAGGCTGATAATTTTCTAAATTAAATACTTAGTAAAGTTCAAAGCCTTAGAAACATGGCCAAATAACTTCAGCATCTGGGTTTATTAAAAAACATACTCTATTAAATCTTTTAAAATTCTGAAGTGATGGCAATTATTGGCTAAACACTTGGAACAAGTATCTGTTTAGGGAGTAGCAGCAGTTTGGACAGCTGCCTCCCTGACAGCACAAAGGGAGCATTTTGTCAATTCACTCAGTGTTCAGTGGGAGGACTGGAGGTCCATTAACAAAGGAGAAATCTCAGTGCTTTCAAAACAAGGACTCTTGTTTTCTCTCCCATTTTAGGCAGCTACTGAAAAGTGAGATAGCTGAGTGTGGCCTGGTTTATATAGCTACTTTGTAATGAAATTAATCATATCCCAGAAAGCTTTAAGAATCCCACAGCAGAAGATCAGGTTTTGATAATGTTATTTTCCTTCTTACAAACCCAAAATACTTCAGGAAACTTAATTTAATAAAAAATTAGCACGTTGTCTTGTACAATTACTTATATTCTAGATTCTGTCCAAATTCAGTGTGACAGTATTTTTACTCATAATTAGCGATTTAGCAAATAAGCACATCAGATGTTTTGCTAGAATATGGCTGTATGTATATAAACTAAATCGCTGTATGAATGTGAAACTTCCACTTTCTTTTCTAAGAACAACACTGTATCTATTCGCATTTATGCTCAGTTTCTAATCTATTGGTTCATACCATAAATAAAACATTTTTTCTTAAAAACATGAAAGGGAAAGAGCTTCCAACACAGACTCTGGCCAGCAATGAGCACCTGCAGGAAGAAAATTCATCCTGATTGCCAAGTACTTCTGGAAGAAAGGTCAGCTGCACAACCACAATATGCCATAGAGAAACCACAGGTAGAACAGACACACTTTTTTAAGAATAGGTTATATATTTGCTAAGTTGAAGCTGCTTTGATTTAAAGTTGCTTTGATTTACCTAATGTCAAGCTGGCTGTAGGGCATAGTAAACCCTTATGCCGAAGGGAAGAAAAACACGCAGAATGTAACACAACACCAGATCCAATCGTACAAGCCACATGGGATCCAGATTAGGAATAGTAAAAGGAAGATTTAGACCCATCCCCGATAACCTGAATAGAAAAGCAAATTCAGCACTTCATGCCTAACAGTAATGGAAACTCACTGACACAGGCCTATTATCTCTAAGAGTCGTGTGACAGAGAAGCAAATGGAAAATAAATCTTCACTACAAAACACAGAGCTGAGGTTGTGAAGGGCAGAAAGAGTGAGGGAGGAAGAGCAAATTTTTTTAACACTCAGTTCACACCTCTAGTAATGCTAATGTCCACAAGTTGTTGCATTCTAGCTCTTATTAGGAGAGCAGGAGTGAAGTTTGCGGGATATGTCAACATAACTGGGAAACCCCTGAAATGCTGAAGGTACTAAACAATGATAAAATTCAAAATGAAAATAGTCTTCAATTCCAGGCTAGTACCTTGAGCTGATGATAGTACAGATCTTCTGGTTTTCAAGTGTACCTGCCCATGCTGTCTCACATCCAGATTTCTAGAGACCAAAATATTTATAAAACCTTGCTCTAGCAGCTGGCCAGAAATAGTGGGGGAGTGCATATACACAGAGCGGCACCTCTGTGCCCTTATCTAAAATTCGCTGAGACTGGGGAAAGAGTCTCACTGATTTTACTGGACTGTGAACCTGACCCCAGAGCATCCTACACCATCATTTGAAATTATATTCACACCCTTGCCAACACACAGTTTTCTAAAAGACCAGGTCAGTCACCATGAGACTAATGACCTTCTGTATTAACACAGTACATGACAAAAGACATGTAGAAGTTTCATTGAATTCAGTACAGTGAAAATTTCATACTTGTTTATTCTGTGGGAAGGACTACAGTCAGGTAAAGTGAAAAGAGCATAATTAAAACATATGACATCTCCAGCTTTAAGTCCCTTTGTAGCTTCACGCCAATGCATACGCAGCAGAATGAGGCAGGAGAGCAAAATAGACTCATCTTTACCAGTCATATCAATTTAACAAGAACATACAGAAAATCCAACAGAATGTATTATACAACAACAGTAATCATCATTTTACTTTGTAAAACTTCTTAAAGCAGATGTTTCAAGCAAATGTATTTCCTACAATGTTTGAAAAACAAATTTAACTGAATACAGTCAAACCCCATGCCACAGAGTACTGCAAAGCAGCTAGACACTGTTCTAGTACTTACCCATTTGGCTAGAGCTTCTTTGATAGTTGTTGCTTTGGCCTAAAAACGAAACAAATTTAAATGAATATTCACTGCACATTTATAATTGGCTTGTTCACTGCAAACCTATTTCCTCTCCCTTCTCTCTCCCTATCCTGCTTGTCTATCCCCTTCTACCACTTTCTTGTGTGTCAGCTGAGTTGAAGAAGCCGGAAACCCTTGGTGTCTCATAAATTTGTTTTCTGAGGTTCTTGGCAGCATTTTCAGAAGCAAATGATGGGCTTAATGTCAGGACATTATCTTCCTGATCTTACTCTCTGCCCCATGGGACACTGCTTGTTAGCTCTGATGGTGAAATTCAATGCAAAAGCACAAGAAACTGTTGCACTGAAAATTGTGGTCTAATGCTCTTAAACCCTCACACTTTCTATTGTGCATTAGCAACTTCCTGTTTGAAAGCAAGTCTGTGAGCACACAGAATGATACAGCCTCTTCAAATTCACTGAGGAAAATGAGGTACATCTTGCCAAAACTAAAGAGCAATCTGGATTGTTTATATTTGGTGTTTCTTTCCAATTGCTTTGCATAGAGTTGCATCATACGATGTGAAAACATGTATTATTCAGTTTGAAAAATCTGAGAGCTGCTGTACAAGGCTTTTTAGGGACTGACCCACTGACCAACTTCCTGTTGTCACTAACTCCAACTTTTCTATCTCACATCAGAGTCTTATAAAACCACATGAAGATATCCAAAACAGTAGTATATAAACAACATATTTAATGCTTCTCTAAACACTAAACATATTCCAAGATGTCTTTTGGATTAAAAAGGTTTCAGAGACCAATCTTTCACAAACACTGATCGACAGTCTCCTTTGTACAAATATAGAAGGACTCTAATTTTGGCATCTCTGTTGCTCTTATGTGTAGCACTACCACGTGTGGATAAAGCAGTCTTTCAGGTAACCAGATATAAAAAAACCCCCTACAGTAAAAGTTAAACCAAACAAACTTCCACCCAAAATCTTACAGGCAACCACCTCAACCACAGAGCTCTAGTGTTGGGTACTTTACTCTGGACCACTGGAAACACTGGTCTCAGGGTAAAAGACAATAGCTGAGGCAGCTGCATATAAAAAATGGCCACTGAACACCCAGCAACCACCAAGACCCAGCAACACCAGGGAGCCTGAGCATGCACCTCAATCACCAATATACACCTCCACTTAGACATGTATCACTGGGCATCCTCAGATGTTCCATCTGCTTTGCCCATTGACAAGTATTTGTTTCTAGTCTATACCAACTGACAGCTAGCTCATGGTCCCATTGGAGATGACCTGGCAAACTTGTGCCAGGCAGCATCTCCTCAGTGTCTGCCACAGATAAACAGCTGCATGACCTCTTCCTGTTCAGAAAATCACATCCCTAATTCCCATTCCAATAGCCTCATGCAATCCAATTAACCAGTGTGCCAGCAAAAACAAGGGGCTTCCAGCTAACTGGGTTTTCTGGACAGAACTTCATTGCTGCTTTTATAATTATGGCAGTAAATCAGTACAGCACTTGGGTACGTGATCTTGGTCACTCATGTTGAAGGCAGAAATGGATTTATATGAACAATATCTGCTTCCGTTTCTAAGTCGTGCCTAAAACCGGATTGGATCCATCTGAGCACAAGAAGCAGTTTCTTTCCTGACCTCTACTGACTTATCTCTGCTGAGTTGCTGGAAACATGGACATCAGCACAGTGATTTGGAGAACATATGTCAGAGATTTCATTCTCTTTGAGGTGTACTTGAAATTTCTGTAGATAAATAAGAGTATCTTCTGCTAAGCAAGATTACCTAAAGGAAACTTCCCTCCAAGCAGCTTATTTTCAGGGCTCCTCTACCTGCATATTGAACAATTTTGTACAGGTATTTAGACTAAAAAAATCATAATACTTAAAATACTCAAAATGCCAAGTGATCAACTGTCACCCTGAAGAGTCGCCATCAACACGGCAGGAACAAGAAACAGAATACCTTAAGGGGAAAAAATAACCACACTTGTATTACAATAGTTATAACAAGAAGTATTTCCCCTCCCTAAACATGGCAGATGGACATAGACTATTTACAAAATTTAGTCCCCCAGGAAAAAGCAAAACAGCGACACTTCGCCTTAATTTGCAAACATTTATTTATACGTTCAATAGAGGAAATCGGAATTGCACAGCAACCGACAAGCTAATCGCTGTAGCGACCGCAGACACTGCTGCCTTAAAAACGCTGAGGTTTGTGTACGATGACATCCCAGACTCCCCGCTGCTTTCGCCTATCGCGAAATGCCCCTTTCCCAAGGCACAGCATCAGGCCACCACGCCTCAGCCGCCGCCCCGAGCCCCGCGCTGCCCCCCGGACAGCTCACGTCGAGCCCAGGCTGCTCGGCAGGGCCCGGCCGCGGAGGGCTCCGCGACCGACACCGTCGGCCCAGGGACCGCTGGGCAGCGGTCCCGGGGGGACGCCGCTCACACACCACCCGCGGCACCAGCCCCGCGCCGCCGGGTCCCGGTCCGTCCCGCGCCCCCCCCCCGCCGCCGGCGGGCCGCGGTGCCGCCCGGCCGCCCCCGCCGCAGGACCCACCATGGTGCCGTTGCTACCGCGAACGCTCCGGTTGCTACGGGCGCGGGAACGCCCCGGCCCGGAACTCGCGTCGGGGGCGGCGGCCGCGGCGCCTTGTGGGACGCGGCGGGGGGCGGGGGGCCGTGCGGGCCCGGCACGGGGAAGGCGGCAGCCCCGGGCGCTTTGGGACCCCACGGGCGGCTGTGAGGCCTCCCAGAGGTGGCCGGTGCAGCTAATCCAGCCCCCCGAGTACTAGTCCCAGTGGAACGTGATGGGAGCTTTGCCTGGCAAGGAATTACTCTGTCCAGTACTGGGTTCTTCAGTACAAGAAAGAAAAGGAGCTACTGGAGAAGGTTCAGAGGAGAGCCATAAAGATGATTAGAGGTCTGGAACATCTCTCTTATGAGGAGAAACTACAGGACCTGAGCCTGAATTGTCTAGAGATGAGAAGACTGAGAGAGGATCTCATCAATGGCCTATAAGTATCTCAAAGGTGGGTGTCAGGAGAATGGTATCCAGTGACAATGGCCACAAACTGAAACTCAAGAAGTTGCATCTCAACACGAGGAAGAACTTCTTTACTTTGAGGGTGGCAGAGCAGTGGCACAGGCTGCCCAGGGAGGTCATGGAGTTTCCCTCTCTGGAGACATTCAAAATCCACCTGGACATATTCCTGTGTATCCTACTCTGGGTGACCCCTTCTTGGCAGGGCAGTTGGACTAGATGATGTCCAGAGATCTCTTTCAATCCTAACAATTCTGTGATTCTGTGAATGTAAACCTATATAAATAATGTGGCTTTAACTAAGGCCACAGACACTCAGTTTAATGTACACTTCAGGAAACAGCTATGTTTTCTGCAGTGTCAGCAATGCATCTTTGGTCCCCAGGTAGCACTGTAAATACACAAAATGCTACTGCAAAAGTTGGCTGGTTTTCTACAGGCCCTTCTATGAATTATTTTGTCCAGAAATACCCTGACCCTGACCCATTCATAAAAGGATCTTCAAAGTAAAATTACATTCTTTTTATTTTTCCTCCTTTTTAAACAAAGTATCATTCAGTTTTCCAAACAAATGAACTATTCAGAAACAAAAATCTAACATCAAATTCTTACGCAAGGTTGCTTTTTAATAAAGCGTTTTACTTCTCTTTCAAATTGCATATATCTGACAAAATCTAACACTGAATTATTTTAAAGGCTTGTGCTTTAGAAATTAAGTGTGAGGACTCTTAACCTACCTGGCTTTTATTTATAAATTAACATTTACTTCCTGATCCTCCAGATTGCAACCTTGCATAGCAATGCATATGCTGAGGTAGGACTGCAGTGTGGAGACATAGGTATTGGTGCTGCGAGTGACAAAACAGGGTTAGGGGAGGTGCTTCTCTTGCACAATTAATTACAGAGCTCTGACTACTGAAGATGCACAGGACAAGGCAGACAGACAAAGAGAAACCTTCAGACAACCCTCTCCTCTATGGTTGCCACTTGTAATGAGTCTAGAAAAATGGCAGGGAACCAAGTATCAGTGACACCAACAAGCACATCACAGCAGGCTTTGGTCCTGGACTTCTGGGGCTGCTGGTGTTAGCGGATGTTCAAGCACTAGATATGACTTGGGAAAAGCCTCTTCAGCTAGTGAGGAAGTTTAGAGACTAGGTATGAAGACATCTTGTGTGGAGTTAGCAGGATGAGGCTTCTCTTGTAAAGAATCGTAAAGATGGATAAATTGTTCAATTGGCATTGATTGTGTGTAAAGAACATGTGACTTTAATCAAATGATAAGGAGTAATAAGTTGCAGAAAGCTAATAAGACCAGAACAGCAGCATCATGACAGTTAACTGGAGAGAGAAGATCCCTGAGAGCAAAACAAAACTGATTACCAGAAATGAAGGGTTTGTATCTTCCCGGGCAGCTCTCAAACTGGTCTGACAAAATGACTTTGGAAGGAGAAATTGTCTTGATAGAGGTCCTCATTAAACAGATCTGCTGCACTGGCACCATTTCAGCAAGACCCTTTAAACAGATCTACTGATTTGGGAAGAAGTTGTTTCTTTCTACCTGAATAGTGGGGGAAAAATAAGGTACTAGCCAAAAATTAACTAGGATGAAAAAAGAACGATCTCAGGCAGTGATGGAAAAGATATCCTAGACTTGAGTTTAGGGGTTTTTTGGAGGGCACTGTTAGTTTGGTTGGGTTTTTTTGTTTAGCTTTTTTTTTTTTTAAGAATTATGACTTTAAGTTAATCATCGCCATAAGGTGACAGCTTTTTACAGTCAGTTTAAATCTTCTACAGGCAAGGTTTTTTGTCTCTCAACTCTGCTTCCTCCCTAAGAACAACTGTCAGCATCTGTTGACATCACTACTAAAAAGGTGCAAGAGTAATTAATCCCTTACTTACTGGCTGCATTTAGCCATGCTCTAACCTATCCAACAGAATTCTAATACCCTGAGTGTCAAATGCCAATCCAAGACATTACAGGAACAAGTAGTTACACCCCCAATACAATACAGTGCTAGTGCTGCTGTTCTCCCTGGATGACAGGAAAAGTACTCTTCATTTTCTCATGCTACAGGTAGTTTTTCTTGGAAAGAAACAGCCTGTGTCACCAGAAGACCACTACATAACATATACTAAGTATACAAGCCTCATTGCAAATAGACATCTCCAGCTTCCTGCAAATACAAAACATTTCCAAGGTGTATATGGCTGTAAATCTGAGTTCTGGGCTAAGGTAACTGAGGACTCAAAGCCAGAATCATTCATCATTCTGATGTCAAAGTTTATCATCCGTCATTCCCCAGGGGTGATCCTGTCTGTCATTACTGAGGGTGCAGGCTGGCTGTGAACATTCTCCAAGTCATAAATACTGCAAGCAAGCAAGTACCTACTACACTCTTCAGATACTTTTTTCTTCATATCATGACCACTTTGGGCTGTCAAATTTATACCACAGTGCAGCCTGCTTATTGTTTCACTTCTCCTCTGTGTACCTAGTTAAAATAACTTAGGCTGATCCAAATAAATCTCTTTCTTTTTGGATTTATACTTGTAGCTAAGTAGTCATTTGGTTATTTCACATTTCAAGGTTTTTCTCAGTCAGTCCCTCCAATTCACCAGTCATTTTGGTGGCTCAAGTTCAGTCCTTGCAGTTCTGCAACAGCTTGCATGTGTGTAAATGTTCATCCCAAATGCAAGCGCAGAAACTCCTGAATCTTTCCCCAGGAGTGTTCCTGTGCATGGGCATGTGCTTTGCTCTCTCCACCCCCCAGAACAGGCACCCCCAAAACACGATCCATAGCTACATGACAAAATGGAGTAGAAGGAGGATCAATTCGGTGACCTGCTCCTGGATAACTCAAGAGTTCAAAGTTCTCTTTCCCATGCTGGCGTAGACGCCTGATTGCCAGCTCAGCATATAAGGAGCTCTTCCACATACGATCATCTTCCCCTACCACTAAGAGAAAGTGTCCTTCTGCTTTTTCAATGGGGATCGTGCAAGGAGAATTAGCAGGACTCATTGGATCCTCCAGAGCTTCAAAAATATCAAATACACCAGTGTCAGAGACACTGATCTTGTTCATATCAAAACGCAGCCCAGGCAGAGTCATCTCACCGTAATGGAGGTCTGCAACTGTGTTTGAACTACAGCCAGAGATGGAGACAGCAGCCACAACTTCTGGCAGGAAGGTGATCATGGAGAGTGCTAATTCTGCCCCTTTTCCAGTCCCAATCACTCCAACTCCTGGTCCTTTCACCTTCAGATAAGATAGGGGGTGGAGAAGAGAGGAAGAAAAGAATAAAGGAAGTATGCATTATAATGCGATTAGCCATCAAGTGACTTTGGAGTTGTGTTATTAAAAAAGGGAAAGGTTAGGTTAATTATTGATGTGACCTGTTGGAAAGCTACAGCCTGGACCCAGGCTCCTCTCTCTGTTTACTGTCTTTTTTTTCAGAGACATCAAGAGCTGTCAAACCCCACAGAAAATCTCAGAGACAGGCATAAGATGTACCATCACTTGATCCTCACCTGGGCCCTACTGCATATGTTGATACAAAATTTTTCTCTTTTTCCCAAAACAGGTAGCAAGAAATTCAAGCACGTGTTGTCTCAGGCAAATAAAGTAACCTTACAAATTGCATTTGAAGGATTAGTAAGTAGCATTTAATCTTGTCTTTTTCTATCCTGGAAAGTAAAACTAAAAGCAACATCCCAAACCATCGAATCCATTCTTTCAATGACTGTTGAGCAGTTTTGTATCATCCTCTCTTAAACTAATTGCTTTTATTAAAAAAAAAAAATTATCACCACTGCTCCTGTTTGGAGGATATTCCAGCACTTCACCATCCTAATGATCAGCAGTCTTCTAGTTTCTAGCATGAATTTATTTAACAGACAGTTTGTGCTGGAATAAATTCACTCTCACAGTCATATGCATAGCCACCTATGCAGCGTCTACAGTTTTCTCACTATTAGGCCTAAACCTGCCCAGCACAAACTGATACTCAAAAAAACCCAACCAAACAAAAAAACCCCAATCACCATCACCACTTGGGCATGACTGCTGAATCCTCCCTTGTCCCAAGAGATCTCTCATTACACTCACTTTTGGGTGACGCTGTAGGAATCTAGCTGCCTCCTCAAAGTACTCGAGTTTGAGTTCTTTCATGACCTTAGGAAGATCTTCAAAGTCAAAATATGGCAGAGAAAGAGCAGCAAAACCACGGGTAGCCAGGAGACCGGATCTAAGTTCAATCAAGCCTCCTTCATCACCATACATGTCAATCACTCCTGGAAAGGGGCCATCCCCTATATTAAAAAGAAGTGGTACAGAGGACAAGTTAACAAACAGGACACTAAAAACTATCTGGTGAACAACAAAATACAGAATGCTTAAGACATTTGCTATCAATGCTCATTACTTTTCCATTTGCGCAGCAGAGATTAAGAGAACCAGCGCTGTATCCCATTTCAGCTATTTCAAACTAAGAATAGGCCTTTAAATTCCTGCAAAAATATATGAAGTTAGACTTTTTCTTCTTTAAAAAAATCAAACCCAACTGTTCTAAATGTATTTTTCAATGGTCTTAACCTCCCGCCTTCAGAACAATCATACCCTAAGTCTGCTATTTTCCCCACAAATACGTCACATCTTAATTAACAAAGTGCAAGCTCATGAGTAATGAGCAAAGAGCACTAATCCCTCAAAGTCAATTCTACAAAACTTATGTAAACTCTGGAATAAACTGCATTGAGCAAAGCACAGCAAAGAGACACCAATTGCTAAACAAAATCAACTGGACTTAACTAGCTCTATCTCAACATCAGCACTGTAACACTTGGTAGGAGAACTGCTACTGCAGATGTGACCAGACGGAGGGTAAAACTGAGAGCTGTATGGGTGTGGTTACACATGCATGACTGATATACAGATAAACGTGACATACATGTGTACAATTTGTCCCACAAAACTACAGAAATAATCAGAACTGCAATTTTAAACAGCCATGTGTTTGCAGCCAAGGTTGTGTTGTATCATGTTTGTATTCCAAGCCAGCAGATCTTGGGTTAAAAGGCTAAGGATACCACCTCGTGGAGTTATAAAGACCCCAAGCAAGCAATTTCTTTTTTTTCTTTTTTTTTTTTCCCCTGACCACAAGGTGTCACCTTTGATGTACCTGGATCCAGCTCACTACAACCATCTCACAAAAAGGACCCACTTGTGCAAGAGAGTGCTAACTCTCTGACATTACCTGTATGCACTAAAGAAAAGATCTCTGACTTCAACACACTTGAGAAAAGGAAGTTTTGGACAAGACATGCTAGATGGTGGAAACCTCCTAAATTAAAGCATTAGGAAGTCAGAAAGGGACTGAACCATGCTTTTGTGTTCTCTCTCTTTCAGTTCTGATCTTTTTTTCATAGAAGTTCAATATTCTTGAGAGAAAATATGTTGAGATAAATTTATCATAATGCCATGATCAACAGGAACCTTCAGCTAACAGCAGTCAGCCTACATGGCTGGAAAATATGTAATTTATTTATCACCTCTACCCAGAAAGCTTTCTAGCAAGAACATGTAATCAGAACACAGTCAAGCACAACTGTTTCTCTCATGAAGAGAAACTTAAACTTATGCAAGGATCCTGGACTGCCTCCCTGAGTGCCTACACATGCCCAAGTATACTTTCTGCATAGCTCACTGAAAAGCAGGATAAAACACGATAGACAAATTTACTACCGTTTAAAACCAAAGAAACACACCTTAACTCTTATGTGCAAATTTAGAAATTTTTCATATTAAAATTACACCATAAGCCCACTTACATCATTTCACTTTTACTAAGAATGGTTCACATTTAAGATTCCTATCTTAACAGTATTAACATATTTTTGTCCCTGGAGCAAAGGAGGGTATGGTAGTAATGCTGTAACTGGATCCTCCATCACGAGAGATGCCAGTATCATTTAAGCAATGATTCCAGACTTTTCCACACTATTACAGTGCCAAACTTGCTAAAGCGGAAAATACAGTTCCATTCCACTGAGCTCAGCAGAAATCAAACTCATCTTCTAAGGCAGGATAGCAAAACAATCACGTCTCAGAGATGGAAAATCCAGCATGCTGACTAAACATCTGAAATTCAAAGTTCAATCTCTGTTTGTTGTTTTTTTCTTCAGTGAACTTTGGATCCACATCTGAATAGATAAAAAAAATATTGGTTTGGAAACTCACTGAAAATACTTAAATACCTAATACTGTAGTGATACTTACAGGAGCTGCTGAACCAAGTAGATTTAAATTAGAGGTAATGTGGAGGGCAGTTCCTGTAGCACAACAGTCAGGGAACTACAAGAAGTTTAGATCATGGCTAAAGCATACATCACTGGTGTAAAGTTTTGTTTTCCAATATCAGTAGGAGCCCATCAGAATATCACACCTCATAAAGCACAACCATCCCACAAGCAGAACAGGCAAAACTTGCTGATAAATATATTCTGCCTGTTTACCACAAAAGTAACCCAATTACTAACTCAGCGTTGGCTCCGACCTAACAGAGGGGGAATAAGTGTATTTTCTAGAAGCTCTTCTATTGTTTTGCTTACTGGCATGTGTTTCACATGGAAGAAAAATGCCTCTGAGTGGGACATTCAGCACAGTCTCACACAATGAAACGCACCAGCTTTTCTGAATGTTACATATTCTGGCAGACCAGAACAAACATCCAACCTACTGAAAAACCGCAGGCAGAGTGCAGCGATGTAGTAAACTCTAGAACCCCTGTTCTCCTTTAGCTCCTTCCCGCCCCGCAAAAGCCGCCTGCCCCGTGCCGCCGAGAAGGATCAGGACACGCACAAGTCGGGCCTTCTCCCGACAAGCACTCGGGAGCGTCTCCGTAAGGTTTCGGGGGAAAAAAACCGGCCACCTGTCTGCAGGAGGGCGTTCCGCTCATTGACAGAATACGGATTCCGCGGGTGGCATATGTATGTTTCTGTTCTGTATGTTTCTTTCCCTGCTCTGTTCAGAGAAACTGGGGGGTTCCGCTGGACCCGGAGCAAAGGCCTCCGGCCGGGACACTCACCCGGCGGCAGAAAGAGGGAGCCCCTTACAACTCCTTCCTTCAGCCGGATCCTTCGCACGCCCGGGGCCATGAACCACCTCTCCACCTCAGTCTTGGCCACCACGGGCCCGGGCATAGCGCCGGGCGGGCTGTGGCCCTGGTGGACCAACACCTCCACCTTCATCGGGGCGTCGGTGCTGCGGGGGACGAGCCGCTGGTACGGCCGCTCCATGGCGGCGGGGGCGAGGCTCCAGAAGAGCCCCATGGGCTCCACGCCGGTGTAGTCTCCACCGTGGGAGGCGTCCGTGCCCAGGTGCAGCTCCCCGCGGCTGTCCGCTCGATAGTGCGCGCACGACTGGAAGAGGCAGCCGCGGTCACCGGCCGCCAGGGCCCGCAGAGTCACCGGCTGCCCCGGGCTCAGCCCCGCCACCCGCGTCTCCACCCGCTCGTCGGCCGGGCCGGCGGCGGGGGACACGGCCAGGCTGGCCGCCCGCCGGGACGGCCGGGCGCGCAGCAAGGCCCGCGGCGGGGCGGCGGAAGCGGCGGCGAGCGCTCTCCACATGGCGGCGGCGGAAGAAGCTGCGCGGAGCCGCCGCGCCGTCCGCAATATTAGTACCGCGGCCGCCGCCCCCTCCAGGCGGCCCCAATCGAGAGAAGAGCCCTTCCCCGCCGCCAGGAAAGGCGGACAGTCCCGGGCCGCTCCCACCTCTCCCAAATCATCCAAGCGACTGGAGCAGCCAGCCGGGGAAGGGCCGCCAGTCGCGGGCCGCTCCAGCCTCCTCCAAGCCGTCCAACCGACTGGGGCAGCGGCTAAAGTTTCACTTTAAGCTATTACAAACACAGGGAATGCAAAAGCCCGCCTGACGCACGGGGAGCAGCCGAGGCTGGATGCGACCCGCGCGCGCTGTCAGGCACGGGGGGTGCACAGTGTTCGGATACACCAGCGCAAACTCGCCGGCAACATCCAGCGCCTTCTCCTCCAACCCTGCGCCTGGGTGCCGAACGTTACCGAGGATCCCCGGCGGGGCTGACAGCTCACCCCGCTGCCCCCGCTGCTCAGAGAGAACCAGATATGCAGCCGGAGCCCGGCTCTGGCACTGCACGGCGGCCGCCCCAATGCCCCTTCCAGCCCGCCTACCCCTGCCCAGCGCCCGGCGCCTCGTGGAGCCGCCGAGCCAGCCCCGCAGCCGGACTGTTTCCCGTAACTTTTGGAAGCAGGCACTAAGGGAATGTACAGGCAGGAAGACGCTACCCTCCAACAGCGCTGCGGACCTAGACCGGATACCCAGCCCAGCTGAGGAGATGCCCGAGAGCGGCTCCAGGATGACTACCAACAGGGCCGAGTCTGTTGTTTTCTCATGCTTACAGACGTTCAAAAACTGTTAAAATGTCTCATTTCTACTGCATGTGCCCAGAATGTCACATCAGGCTAGGGGCTGTTGTTGCCTATGAACAGGAGATTTGCTACCTGAGGAGCAGGCACATTATTTCTGCTTTTGCTAAGTGAATATTAGATATTCTTAAGGCATTTAGAGAGAAGGGGAATGAGCAACACAGGAGAGGGACGTGCACAGGGAGAACAGAAAGAATACCGGAGGCAGGAAGAGAGAACTGCTGCTTCCAGAAAAACTAGAACACTGGAACGAGCACACAAAGCTGGCTCTGGTAAAGGCAATGGCATATGGTTCCTCTGAGAACACTAAGGTACATTTTCACCCCAATTCTCAGCTTGGATAAGTTACCTTCCACTTAATTTCACATTCAAAGAACACCCAGCCTTACCACATTTGTCTTCCACAGCTTTTAATCCTATACTGCACAAAGCAGGAGGCCAAGAACCTCTAACCAAGGTTAGAGGAGGGTGTAAAAACAAAGCAGCTTTCATGCTTTCACCCGCTGTCATCCTCCAAGAAACGCAATAGCTTATTCTCTGATGTTCCTTGTTCTCATTCTGAGCCATTTAACAAAGCAATCTTGAAACACCAGCATCTTCATCTGTAATCTAATTCACATCACAGATTACTGGATGTTCCAGATGGCTTGCCTGTGAGGTGTTTCCGGAAGAAAGCTTGGATCTGCTGCCAAGCATCTATCTGTGCCTCACAGTGTGCCTTGGGCTCCCCTCCCCACACCACAGGTTTGCCAACTAGCAGGTGCATTGAGGCTGCACACATTGGGAAAAAGGGAGGTTCAATGTAGTGCCCTGCTCCAGGATAACAGACTATCTCAGGCTTTTCCTTCCCATGAGCTTGCAAACGTTTGCTCCCCTCAACTGCAAAGAATTCGCTTTTCCAGTTGCGATCATCCTGGCCAACAATGAACAAGAAGCGACACTCGGCCTTCTCCAAAGGGATAAAGCTTTGCTGGTCAGGCCCTTCTAGTGGGTTGTTCAACATATCAAAAATATCAGCAATCCCAGACTTGCTGACCTTGATGCGTTTCAAATTGATATTAAGAGGTGGAATGGTGATGTCCTTGTAGCGGAGCACTGCACCCACATTTGCCACTGAGCCGTTGATAAGGGCAGTGGCTGTGATGCCCTTTAGGAAGGAGGCCATGGAGGTGCACAGGTCACCACCCTTTGAGATTCCAAGCAACCCAATTCCTGGACCTTTAACCTGGAGGTGAGAGAAGAGAAAGAAACCACAAGCAATGAACCAAAGCGTGCCACTTCTTTAAGATGTTGCCATGTTCGCAGCCGTGCCTGTCCCAGATTTGGACCCCAAGTACAGGCATCTAAGGTCCTGTTTGCAGGGCCCACATCTGAGGGACCCTGGGCACCGTTCTGTGCTTGATTTATGGTCCTAAGCCCTACTGGGACTGCAGCATCATCACCTAACAAAGCTACAGGGTTCAGTGCTGAAGCAGAGAATACAGTGTGTTTGCAGATGTGCAGTCCCAAATTCACTTTGCCTGTAAGGCAGTTGAGGGAAGAAGAGGGAAGAAGAAGGGGAGGCTTCTTCTACAAATACTTTCTTTCAGTGCAAAATGCTCAAAGTCAGCAATGACTATGATATTGTCATCACTTATGATAATGTATTTCTTATACTCAACCACTGTCTTTGGTTTCCCTATTAAGAAGATAACATGGAGTGGCAGGCTCCACATCAGCTGTTCTCCCTCTTCTCCGGTATGCTTGGTGTCTAACTCACAGGAAGCATTCTGAGGTACCTTACTCATTAAAATGTATCTTAAAAAAAATAACCTATTAAACCAATTTTTCTAAGAGAATTGTACAGTCCTCTGGAGTCAATCTAGAATAGGTTACCTTCATTTTCTTTTACACAAGGCAAATTAACTAGAATAGAAAAATTAAATGACCTTACAAGGTATTGAAAGCCTCCAAGGCTATTGGAAGAAGGTTAGCTAATACCACAACTGCTTCAAAATCCAAAGAGCCTTAGGAGCAAAAAGGCTCTGAGACAGCATCAAAATTTAGTATCTTTCGTATCTTATCACCAGTGTAATAGGCTCCAAACCCACTGACTTTGAAACATGGAAAGGGAGAAATTAGAAAATACA